GATTTCTCTTCCCCTACCTCTCTGGTGAGTGTTCACATCCTATAGCAAACTGAAAAAATAGTCTGTCACATGCATTATCATGATACTTTAAATAAGTCAGCATATAGGCTTACAGTGTAATAACCTATTGACCCTTTATCTTTTATATATTTGCTGTAAGTATTTTTCCTAGTGTGTTGCTTTTTTCAGATGCTCGTTCCCTTGTGTTTCTCAGATGGTGACATGCCGTGCCGTGCCAACATCTTGGTCACAGAGCTGTTTGATACGGAGCTGATTGGGGAGGGAGCGCTGCCCTCCTATGAGCATGCCCACCAGCATCTCGTGCAGGTAGTGGACCGCAGGCCTCCCTCAGGTGTGTTGCTGTGATTTCAGCAGCTCACACAGCACTCATCGATGCGCTGTGTGCAACATGGCCCAAGCCCTCATACTCTCTGGGACACCCCTCGATTCCTGGGAGGCTCTTTTTTTCTTCACTTGTAACTTCGGAGTTCCTTGAATGCCAAGTCTCGATAGGTTAGTCAAAAGGCAATAAAAGAAAAGAACCCTTTTCAAATTCAGTTCAATTTAGCAAGTATTCCTAGCGTTTCAGCTGTATGTAAGGTGTTCTGGCATCAAGGGAGAACTATTAGATATCTGTTTTCCTTCTAAGCTCCTCAGTAGTCAGTGACGGTGAGGACAGGAGGGCTGATGGGCTAGGGAGTAGCACTGCAGATACTCACAGTAGGACCAGCAGAAGGGGTCAGGGGACAGTAAGGAGATGAGGGTGTGTGGAGTAGAATTTAGAAAGGCCCTTGAGGGCAGCTGTCCAGGTAGAGGGCCTGGTTGGTAGGTCCATGAGAACAGTAGCCTGGAGGCTCACAGGCTAATGGAGAATGGAGTAAAAGGTAGAGGGCCTCAAAACAAGACCATGCCAGATGTAGTGGTGACGATCTTTGACTTTTTTCAAGAAGGGGAGACAGGCTGAAGATGTTATGTGTTTTTTTTTTAGAATTATTTTATTTAACTTTATTTATTTTAATTTGACCAGAGAGGGACAGAATGTCAAGGGGTAGACAGGCAGAGAGAGAAAGTGAGAAAGCAAGCTGCCAGGTCTAAGACTCCGCGGTGGGCCATGTGGTAGTCCAGCACTCTTAACCACCACGCTGCCTGCCAGCCCCCAAAACAAGGATATTTAGAAGTATATTGATGTTGCTCTGTTTGTCTCCCTCCCTCCCTCCCTCCCTTTGACAGAGGGAGTGAAAAAGTACTCCCCCAATGGGGTGTGGTTATGTCCCATCCCTTCTTGTCTATCTCATCAAGATTTTGGGGTGCACATGTACCTGGCATGTTTTTCAAGCCACTGGGGCAAGGATTCAAACCATAGTTGGCCACGTGGGATCTGACTCCCTCAATCACCAGGCCTCAGGGCCAGCCTACAGAAGATACATTGAGTGCCTTTGTTTCTCCAGGCCCCTTTTTGGGTACCAAGAATGTGAAGTTGAGCTGGGGAGGCAGGTCACCACAGCACAGTTTGGGGTGTGGGGCAGGTGATGCTGAGCTGAGTCAGTCCAGGGATATGTGTTAGCTGGCAGGAGGAATATATACCCATTGGAGGAGAGCAGCACCCACAGAAGCATGGCGTCGTGGCTCCCAGACCCTGCAAGTTGTCTGGATTTTGTGTTGTTTTGGAGGCATCATCTGTGGGGTTAGAGGTGAAGTTTTGAGGCTGGACAGGAGTAGGTGCAGAGGTCTTGCCCAGAGGGCAGTGTCATCTAGGAGGCAGGGTGGTGTCATGGGAGGATGTGAAGCAGGAGGTTGATGGCAGATTTAGGCAGGCAGACGAGGTAACAGGCCGTGGGAGTCATCCACACACTGGGACAAGGTGAGACTTAGCCAATGCCTGAGATGTGGGCCCAAGAGGTGGTCCCAGAACTTGGTGGTTACTTAGCTGTGGAGGCATCGAGGGTGGTGCCAGGGCTTGGGGACTGGGCCGCTGGATTGGCTGGTGGTACTTCCCACTGACTGGGAGCTCAGGAGGAGCACCCTGGGAATGTGGGCAAATAAAGGGGATTTGTCCAGTTTTGATAGAGTTGAAGCTGTCTGAGCATTAGCCGAGGAGAGAGCAAGAGGCCTTTAGGTGGATTTGTTTAGTGACAGTAGAGTGGTCTCTGGGGAGCTGCGATTTGAAGGAGTTGGAGGAGGGAGAGAGTCTTGCCAGAGTAGTGTTGGTGTGCTGAGCATGGCCTGGGGATATTTGCAGTTGTCACCATTGGAGGGGGTGGACAGGGATGGCTGAACATACTACGATATACAGAGCAACCCCCACAACAAAGAACCATCAGGCCTGAGGGGCCAGTAATGACAAGGTAGAGCTTGTAGTTTCCATGCAGGCAGCAGCTGCTTGTTCTCTTCACCCCCAGGTCCTGAATGCCTGCAGGTAAAGGATATCGCATGAATAAATAAGGTAGGAGAAAACCAGGCAAGGAACCAGAGCCACAGCCAGGCGAGATGGGTGCTCAGCAGTGCCCAATAAAGCAGCAGGTCAGGTCACTTGAGCATGTCCAGTGGGCTTGACGAGGTTCAGGTTCTGGTGTCCAGGCAAGGGCTGTGCTGGAGCTCAGGCCAGAATTATCACACAGCTGTGAACCTCAGACTCTTATGTTGATGTCAGTGTGAGAGTTCATCCACATTCTGACAGCTCAGGTTTAATTCTGAAATACTTAAGAGTGCCAGGTAGCTAGAAACTTACCTGACGTACACTTCTATAGGCATAATGCGTATTCTCTTAGAAATCTTGTTGGGGACCAGAAGGTGGTATGGTGGTTAAGGCTCTGGACATTCCTACATGGCTGACCACTGGGTCTGGTGGCTTGCTTTCCCACTTTCCCTCTTCTCTCTCTCTCTCGTCAAATTAAATGAATGAATAAATAAAACTGAATAAATAATTTTTTAAAAAGAAATCTTGCTTTTATTTTCCTTTCCCAAGGGCATACAGCTGAAAATAATTTTCAGCTTTTTTTTTTTAAGAATTATTTTAACTTTGTTTATTTATTTTAATTTGACCAGAGAGGGACAGGACAAGAGAGAGAGAGAAGGCGAATGAGAGCAAGAGAGAGAGAGAAGGAAAGTGAGAAATCAAGCTGCCAGGTCCGGGACTTAGACCACAGTTGGCCATGTGGGAGTCCAGTGTCCTTAAGCAGCACACCACCTGCCAGCCCCTGAAAATAATTTTCTGTCCTAGTGGAGGGGAGACAGTAGCCGTTATGAACTAGCTTAACATTAAGGAGTGAGCAAACCTCCTTTTTCTTTCTTTCTTTAGAGTGTGCACATAGAAAGGTGGGGGTGGGGGGCAGAATCCACAGAGATTGGTCACACTGTGATCCCCTCTTCCAGGCCTTCAGATCCTGTGTACGTGTGTGTGCCTAGCAAGTCCCTGGCTGACTTAAGAGATGCCCTGTGGGATTTGGCTTCTCTTGAATAGCATGTTACTTTCATATCCTGGACCTGGCCCCATAAGCCCTATTGTGATCAGTGGGCATTCCTTGACTTATTTCTTGTTCTTTTGTTTCATTTTGCTTTTTAAAAAAATAATATTTTTTATTATTTATTTATTTTAATTTGACCAGAGAGAGAGAAATTGGGAAAGCGAGAAAGCAAGCTGCCAGGTCCGGGACTCAAACCATGGTCTGCCATGTGGGAATCCACTACCCTTTTAACCACCATGCCACCTGCCAGCTCCCTCATTTTGCCTTTTTTATACAAACTTTCAGGAGGGATGTGAAGCCGTGCCCCACAAAGCAACCGTCTACGCTCAGCTGGTAGAGTCCAGAAGGATGTGGTCGTGGAACAAGCTGTTTCCCATCCACGTTCAGACCAGCCTTGGGGAGCGGGTCATCGTCCCTCCAGCGGAACTGGAGAGTTGCCCTGGCGCACCCTCTGTCTGCGACATCCAGCTGAACCAGGTGTCGCCCTCCGACTTCACTGTCCTCAGCGACGTGTTGCCTATGTTCAGGTACCAGGGAGTCCTCTGGTGGCAGTGTTTCGAGACGTTTAATACGATTTGCATCTTTGGAAATTCTTTTGAGTGGGAAGGAAACCTGGCTGATGTCACCTGCCTCTGAAGAAAAGAGCCCTTTGCAGCCAGGTGTCATTGCTGGTGAGGGCACCATGAACCTTAAAAAGGGAGTGTGTGGTATTCAGACGTGTTGACTTCCTGCATGCTCTTCCACAGCGTGGACTTCAGCAAGCAAGTCAGTAGCTCAGCAGCCTGCCACGGCCGGCCATTTGAGCCTGTGGCATCTGGCCAAGCTCAAGTGGTTCTCTCCTGGTGGGACATCGAGATGGACCCTGAGGGGAAGATCAGGTGCACCATGGCCCCTTTCTGGGCACACTCAGACCCAGAGGGGCTCCAGGTAAGAGGCAGGAGCTACATCAGGAAACTTCTTGTTCCTTTTGGTCTCGGGGGTGTAGTAAGTTGAACTTTATAGAGTCACAAGAATTTAGAGACCGGAAGGATGGATGATGGCAGAATCCAGGGCAAAGAAGAGTTTTAAACAAAACAAACCCATAAAGCAAAGGCTAGCCGTGGTAAGGTAGGCCTCTCAGAATCAGCCCTAGGGGCCCGGGGAGCAGCAGAGAAGCTTTGGGGAGGTTGCTGTTCCTGCCTCCGTCATTCTGGCACAGTCACTCTTAGATCTCACCCGTGTTCCCCAGTAACCCCAGGGGTTCAGAGCAGCGTGGAATAGAGAGCTACAACCTCACTTTGGCCTCAGAATTTAACCTCCCAGCTCAGTAAAAAGAGACCAGAGGGGAATCAGCAATTGGCGTAATGGCTATGTCGCTGGACTCCCGTGTAGTTGACCATGGTTCAAGCCCCAGACCTGGGGCTTAAACTCACACCGGGTGCGTGTGCGTGCATGCCCAGGATTCCGAGAGGAGAATGGAGGAGAAGGAATTGTGGTGTGGCCATCCCCCCTGGGGGGTGATTTCTCGCTTTCTGTCTTTCTGGCAAGCACACGTGCCTTATAGCAAAAATGTCTCAAAAACAAACAAACAAACAAAAAAACCCAAAAAACAAAAACCAACCAAACAAACAAAAAAAAACCGAAGACTGGTAAAACTAAAACAAAACAAAAATAAAAAGACTGAGGTCCATTTCTGTGGAAACAGCCAAATCCCATTTGACAGACCCTAAGGTTCAAGTTTCCAATCTGGCAGCTCAAGAAACACACTGGCCCGTGTGCATCTGGGCTCAAAATTCCCAAAGAAGGAAGAAATGGAGAAGGAATTGCGGTATCACTATTTCTTATAGAGGGGAGTGCTTTCTTCTCTCCCTCTCTCTGTTTCTCTGGGAAAAAAAAATAAAAAGACTGAAGATGGGGTAGTGTGAGAAGAAAATTTTCTTCTTTCTTAGAAATTTCCAAGAGATTTACCCTTATATCATAGAATATCATGTGGGGATATCATGTATTTGGCATTTTCTGCCTCTACTGTGGAATATAGAGATCCCTGCCAGCAAAGGGCGAGGAGGTAAGAATGACCTTGGAAAGGCGGCCAACGATGTCTGCTATGGGGCCATCATAGCTACGGTTGCCACGTGTCCCTTGTCTTACGGCCGATGAGCTAAAATCAGAAGGAAGCAGATATCACACAGGGTGGGAGAAGAAGAGTGGATGGAAAACACAAAGATGGTGTAGAGTGGCCGTCTGATGAATCTGTAACCTGTGAGAGTAACATATTCCTAATCCACAAGGCTATTCCAGTCGGCAGGACCAAAGTGCCAGGTCCATCAGCTGAATGTTGAATACCAAACACTGAGCGTCCCCTCAGAAATCAATGGTCTTTCTCCCACTCTCTGAGGCTCACACAAGGAAGAAAGAAAGGGACCAGAGGATCTGAACTATGAAGAGGAAACGCAATGGCTCTTCACCACGCGGTCCATGTTCAGCCTCACAGGAGGAATGCAGCTTCAGCCTGCAATGAGGTGCCTTGTTCACATCCCTTAGTGAATAAAGTTTAGAAAGTTTGGAAGCACATTGGCGAGGGTCGGTGGAGAAACAACAGGAAAGGGAGCTGTGGGAACACCTCGAGTGCCTGGGTTCTGACTGGAGGAAGACCAGTCCCCATGGAGGGTGATCTTCCCTCTTTCCCCTTTCTCTGTCACTCACTCTATCACATGTAAAAATAAATAAACAAACAAACAAATAAATAAATAAATAAGAATATCCGTGGATGCAGCATGGCCTGTTCTGTCATGTTGAAAAGTGAGATGACTTTGTTGCCTGGGCTCCCGGTAGGTTTGCAGGCGTGTGGAATGGTATGCATGCCAGTGTGCTCACTGCAGCCTGATGTAACAGAAAAGGAACAACCTAAGGCCTCAGTGACTGAGTCCATAATGCTCAGCAGATGAGGCTGCCCTCTGGGACTCTCTCCAGGAGGTATTAGTAAGAGAAACTGAAACAAAGGTGCAGACAGGATGGTATGTCAGCATTGACTAGGAAGCATACAATTATGTGTGTTTATGGGGGTGTCTATGTGTGGTATGTGTAAGAATAGCTTGTAAGAATTTACAGAAATTGTCATTAAGGTTGCTTCTGGACAGGGCCTGGAGGTAATGGGTGGAAAGGAACCTTATCTTCGTTCTACATCCTTGTGTCTTACATTGTCTCTCATGCATGTGTTATCTCCCACCCCTACCTTCCCTAGCAAGCCCCTCCCCACATCAAAGTGGGAAAGGTGTTTCAGGGCCAAGAAATAAAACCGTTCTTCTCTGCCTGTGAGTGTCTTAGGCACCATCCTTTGTGTGTTTGCTGACCATGGTGTGAACTTCATGGAAAGCCTTAGCACCTTCCCAGGAGCCTATGCCCCTGAATTATGGCTGTGGGATTACTCAGTAGCCAGTGCCTGGAAGCTGCTCGGGCTCCACTCTACCTTCCAGGTGCCTGGCCGTGGGTGGGCATGCATCTGCTCATGTGTGCCAGTTTCCCTCTGCAGGCTGTATGGGGAGCGGGGTGCCTGCACATGTGTGTGTCAGAATTCACCCACAGAGTTGAGATTGGCACTAGGCTCCTCTCCTACTCTCCAGGAGTGTGTTTGTTATGAAATTAGCATAAGAATTTCATTAAAATGTTAATGATTTCATTTGCATATCAAAGTGCCACTATGTATATTTATCTTTGAATCCTATAAATATACTTGGTAACCACATTCTTACCCAGACTGAGACTCAAACTGACACTCCGGGAGCCCAGGGGATGAGGGTAGGGCCTGTGTCCAGGAAGCAGTGGAGTGGGCCTCCCTTGTCCCTGGGTTTTCTTGCTCTGGGTCTTGTGTCCTTTCTCTACCAGGGATGACGTTTGAACTGTTGGGAATTGGAGAATCTCCCTCATGAATTCCTAAAACTGCTTTGATCTCGAGTATATTTAGCTTGTCTCCTGTTGGGCCTTTTTATAAAATTCAAATGAGGTGGGGTGGGACATGTTTCTGAGAAGTAGAACTAGCCTTGGGCTTCCATTGGAGTCTCATTGAGGCCAAGTTTCCTTCAGTTTCTGAAGATGACACAGAATGAGCAGGTCTTGGTCTCATCACAGTTGAGTCAGGCATCCACTTTTTAGTACAGTTCTTTCTTTGTTAAAAAGAGATTAGAGGGAACCAGCAGTTAGCATAATGGCTATGTCGCTGGACTCCCACATAGTCGACTGCGGTTCGCGTTCCGGATCCGGTGGCTTAAAACTCACGCCGGGTGCATGTGCGTGTGTGCCCAAGATCCTGAGAGGAGAATGGAGGAGAAGGGATTGCGGCGTGACCATCCCCTCTGGGGAGTGATTTCTCGCTTTCTGTCTCTATGTCTCTCTCTGTCTGTCTGGCGAGCACACGTGCCCTATAGCGAAAACCTCTCAAAAAAAAAAAAAAAAAGAGATTAGAGAGAGTGGGCAGGAGGAGTGATGGTTGGGGCGCTAGACTCTGACATGGTGGACTGTGGTTCAAGTCCTGGGCCTGGCGACTTGCTTTCTCACTTTTCATTTCTCTGTCTGGTCAAGTTAGAAAATAATGATAACAAATAAAAAAATTAATTAGTTCTCAAAAATAAAAAGATTATAAGATTAACAAACCTCCTTACACAAAACAAAAATGAATAAAAGATCACTTGTGATCCTGCCACCCAAAATAACTATACTTTTCTAGTCTCTTTCCACTGTATGTGGTTTTGTCAGTGTTTATCTCTGCTTTTTTCATGATGTATTGTAGTCTTCGGCATCATTATTTCAGATGGCTGTGAGTATTCCACATAAAGATTTATGCATCTTTTTCTGGGCTTCCAGACATTTGGGTTGGTTCCAGTTTTTGCTAGTATAAATAATTCTGTGATGTGCGTATTTATATGTATGTAGTTTGCTTTTTTAAGTTTATTCATTCTTCCATTGGAGAAAGAGACAGGCACCCCCAATAAGCACCATAGTCCACCTCCAGTCTTAGCTGCTTCGACCACGGGTGCACACATACCCAGCAGGTTAAGGGAATTGTTGGGACTCCAGCCCAGAAACTGTCCCAAATGGATCCAGTTGTCACTGCTGTGCCATAGTCTCACCATTACAACTATTTTCTTTCCTTTTCTTTTTTGTTTGTTTTTTTCTTAGGTTAGAATCTCATGAGGTTTATCATAAGGATCAATACAGCTTATTAAAGTTGGCTCTGCATCATTGTAAACCATGTCACAATTTCCTGTACTATTTCTCAGACTTTTTAATTAGAAAATTATGAATTGACAAAATAAGTGAAAATGATTAGTGATACTTCCTTTACTTAAATTTACCTATTGTTGGGCCAGGCCCATAGCACAGTGATTAAATGCTCTGCATGAAAATTAGATCTCACGTGGCCATCCATGGTTCAAATCCCAGCCCTCAGGGTTTGAGAAGCATGCTGGGTATGTGTGCATGTATGCCCCAAATCCTGATGGGTTGGAAAAATGGAAGAGAAAGGATTGCCATGTGACGTTGCCCCATTGGGGGTACTTTTTCTCTCTCTCTGGTGAGCACACATGCCCTCTTGACAATTAAAAAAAAAATTTACTGTTAACATTCGCTACATTTGCTTTATCTCCCTTCCCCTCTTCCTTTCTCCTCCCCTCTCTGCCTCCTCCCTTCGATCTCTATACATAAGCACATATACATATATGCAGTTTTTGCTACATTATTTGAAAGTAAGTTGCAGACATCTGGCACTTTCCTCTTTTTTTTAAAGAATTAAATTTTATTCATTATTATTATTATTTAAAAATTTGAACAGAGAGAGAAAGAAAGCGAGAAAGCAAGTCACCAGGTCTGGGACTCGAACCTCATGGGCCATGTGGGAATCCAGTGTCTTAATGTCCGTGTTACCTGCTGGCCTTGACATTTTCCTCATAATTCTCTCAACAAATCACCTAAGAATAGAAGCAATCCCTGACATAAGTAAAATACCATTATCACACCTAAGGAAATTGGCAGTAATTCCATGACTAACGTATGGATTGAATAAAATTTTCATTAATTGTCTCCAAAAGTCTTTTTTTTAGAAATGATTATTAATTTAATTAATTTATTATTACTTTTTCAATATGACAA